GGAGAAGGTAGAAATGACTCAGCCTGTAACTGAAAATATGGATGGAGGGCCTCAGTTTAGCTTGTTTGTCGTGCTAGCACCGAGCTAATACTGTACATTTAAGGCAATATAGCGTTGGTGCTAGCGCAAGGGCTAACAGGCTAAACTGAGGTTCTTCCATGAAGCAGCTCTGTTGTCCTCCATCCATATTTTCAGTTACAGGCTGAGTCATTTCTACCTTCTGCTCTCTGGTTTCATTTAAAAGAGTCGATCGTCAGATATTGTCCAAGRTTAACCTTCAGGGTGGATATAGCTYGCTAGCAGCCTCGCATGWCATCATTTACCCAGAATGCTTTGTGTGTAAATAAAATGGCTCYGTCCGTGTTAAAAAAGTCTAATGTTACAACTAATAGGGGATCCCTTTAAMTAAKTAGGTCACAAATCTGCCTCTTTGGGTTTTTTTGGGGGGGGCTTTTGTGTAAATTTGCTTTTTATGTGATGATTTTTATGTCAGGGCTTGTCGAGGGCTATGTGACTGAAAAGGCTGCCCTGGAGGAGTCTCTGCAGCAGAAAGAAACACAAGAAGAGAAGCTAGTGGAGGAGCTGGAGGGCCTGAAGGTGAAGCTGCACCACCTGCAAAGCCTCACCTCCGAGCTGGAAAGCCTCAGAACGAAGCATCAAGATCTGAGTGAAGAGCACGCACTTSTCCTGCGCCAGAAGGAGCATCTCTCCGCTGGACTCAGAGAGAGGGAAAAAGGTGAGCAGAATAAAATCCAAACAGAGACGTGTGTGAATAAAATTTGRCACGACCTTTTTCAAATGACCGTACACTTATGTAATATCTGTGCTCAGATGTGCGTTTTCTCCGTTGGCCATTGGCTCAGATTTAGATCCTGACACAGGTTTGTGGGTCAGAGAAGAGTGTGAATGTGTGAGTTGAGGGTGGTAAAGAGTTTGCAGTGCTGTGTAAGGTTGTTGTTTGTAATACTGCTTTTACCTGTAGCTATTAGCAAATCTTACTGGAGTGCTGTGCCATTTGTTCTACGTCTTTACATAAACGATGTGCATTAGTAGGGCTTTAAACTTCTTTTAATGTCTTATCACTTTCTCTAAATGTCTACTTTTTATATAAAAATGTTTTAAACCTTGGCTTTCTTTTTTATTCCAAGCTTTGCTGGCAGAGACAGAGCGTTTGACTCAAGAAAAGCTGGATTTGCAGCGGCAGTCAGAGAAAGACCACCGTTCTCTGTCACAGCGCCTCAGGACCCTGGAGAGAGAGCTGGAAGACCAGGAAACCAAAGACCTGGAGAAAGAGCAGCACCACAAGACCCACACGGAAGACCTGAGTCAGCGCGTGCAAGCYCTCGAGAAGCAGTTGAAACACAACAGACAGTTTATAGAGGCAAGCATAAATTAAAATCTGTTTCAAATTATTTTACGTAAAMTGTAAAAATTGACAAATTTGCTCTTTTAGTACTTCCACTTATTTGCAGGTCCTGTCCCAGTGCTTTAATTACTGCTCTATATCTATTTTATTTAAAGGTCAACCCTTCTGATGTTGCAGTTTAATTCATTTAATAGTCTTGAACATAATTCTTTGAATGCATACAGGAGCAGGCTGTGGAGCGTGAACACGARCGAGACGAGTTCCAGCAGGAGATCCGCAGGCTTGAAGCCCAACTCAAACACACMGCAGCTGTAGATAACAAAGGACACAGGGTGAGGGCTTTTATCTTAATAGGATATGAATACATGAAAAATTTAATGTAGAGTGTCACGATTTCATATTTAACTCACCAAGCTGTTGTCTACGAGGTTTTATGATTCAAGGATGATTAATGTAGCTGTGATCACTGCTGATGCAGTCTGCAGAGGTGATTTAATATGACTGAAGGTTGTTGCAGATGTGGCTATATTTTCTTAATTTAAGTTTTTTTAAGTGGTTTGAATTTTTTGTGCCTTTTATACAAAATATTGTGCAAAAAAATTTAATATGTTGCATTTTGAGGTTGTGTGTGTTTTACTAATTGGATTATAAATGAGTTCACCGGTTTGTAAATGGCATGGTTTAAAAAGATTGACATGATGATTCAATGTTTGTTTGCCTAAACCTGACTATCATTGTGTGTTTGTTTCTCTGCTGAATGGATTGCTGTAGTTTGAGGACTTGGTTCTGCAGGTATGAAACCTAATTGTAGCAAATGTCTCGTAGTTTTTCCCCTGACTCTGCATTTCTGTTCATTTGCAATCCTTTAGTCTTTTTAACTGCTTTGTGCTTCTAATAATTGTGTAGTTCCTCCCTTCATAGTTACATTAATTTAGTTATTTCTCATCTTAGATTGTTTGCTTCAGAATGACTAACTTCAGTCTTTGCATGACTGGCTGCAGATTTGGAATGGCTTCTTTACCTTTTTAATAGCACTTTCWTATCTGCAAACTTTGCTTCTTTAAAGCTCTAAGAAGTTGTGTAAAATGAAACTGTTGTTGTTTCGGCAGGTGGAGAGTCTACAAAGTAATCTCAAAGATAAAACTGAGGAGCACGCCTCTTTGCTCGCAGCCAATCAGCAAGCCCAGCACGATCTCGCTGAACGAAACGAAGAGATAGACAAGTTAGCYGGCCGAATCAGAGAGCTGGAACAAGCCCTCCTCAACAATGCTGAGAGTGTTAGGACTGTCAGCCGCCTGGAGCAGGAAGTGCACAAAGCAAAGTTAAGAGAACAGGAGCTCACACAAGTAAGAACAACACACACTTTCTCATTAGCTGGTTTTTTGTTTGTTTGTTTGTTTGTTTGTTTTTCATTGTACACTACTTTCCTCACTGATCACCTTCTCCTTCATTAGGATAAACTGGCTCTAGAGCAACAGCAACTGTCCAGCAGGCTTCAGATCTCAGCTCTGCAGTCCAAACTAGATGAGACAAGACATTGTCACCATGACAATACCCGTGACCCCACCGAGGAGCTCAGGGACGCCTTGGACACTGCTCGGCAGAATCTGCACAGCAAAGAGCAAGAGGTCTGTCAGATATCCTGTGAAACTGGTTCATCCAGGATCACATGTTTGACAGCACTGCCACCTTCTGGTGTAAACAGGAATGACTTCAGTTTGTTGTTTAAAGGGCCAATATTATGTKTTTCTCAGGCATATATTTAAATACTATACCATAATAAAGTATCTATGTCACATTTAGTTTTTATTAAAATGTTGTTTTTATGTTTAAATAGAAAATAAACTTATCTTCTCATCACTTCCTCTTCTAAACACCTTGAAATTGCCCTCTGTCTCTTTAAGAACCACCTTCCGAAAGTTTCACTTTCACTTGTTTGCTCTGTTACTGCCGAGAGCCTGCAGGAGTCATGGGCGGGGTGTGTGAGGTGGGGAGGTGTGCTCTGTGGTGAGGAAGCTCGGCTTAAAGACACGTCCCAGGGGCGTTTCTAGTCCTAAAAGGCGTTTCTGGTCCCCACCTGTCGTTTTGCTCCTCAGCATGGCTKCCTAAAAACGCTGCAGGATTTCTCAAACATGAATGAGTCAAAGCAAGGCTTTGGGCATGTTTTTATGAGAGTATAACATTATAACATGATATAAAACTATAAAAAGTTGATTTTACATGATATTGCCCCTTTAAAACAATCAGTTTCTGATGTAAACAAAGTAAATATTTTTATTTCATTGTTTTTATAGCACACAATTTAAAAAAAACTATTGTATGATGCAAAATATCCAGTTTTAATGTTGACAGTTCTCATTATTTATCCTTTTTAATAAACACTTGTATTTTTCTTAGGTTGAAGTTCTGCTTGTCCAGCTGGAGAACGTGCAACGAGACTTGAGCATTAAAGAAGCTGAACTAAAACACCTTACRCTTCAGCTGGAACTACTAACTAATAAGCACGCAGCACAGGTGCAAGAGCTTCAAGAACAAATTTCTGCCCTTAATGTAAGAGATATTTTATTATCGTTTTAAACAATTGTCTTAAATATGACAGTAGAGCTCCCTTCTTGGATGGGGGTTGAAGAAAAGCACGAACAATTTCACCACAATTAAACTARTTTGTCTAAAACCTTTTCTAAAGACAAAAATAAAAACTTATAGTTTGGTTAATTTGATTGCAGAAACTGCCTTTTTGATAAATGTTTAAGCCTCTGTTGTCCATTCTGTTCAGACTAATAATGATGTCATGGTGAGTAAACTAATGTTCATGACTTACAGGAGAAAGCGTCAGCCCTGTCCATACTTGAGGAAAAAGAGAAACATGTTCAGATTAAAGAAACTGAGGAGCAAACCCTTCCTGCTGCTCTTCTTCAGGAGAAAAACCAGGAGATTGACCACCTGAACTGTGAGATCCAAAGACTGGAACAGGAGCTGGAGAATGCCAGGAATGACAAAGCCMGTGTAAATATACACTAAATATAAACATACATACAATTCTTGTATGGCTGTAGTCGTGCCCATCTGAAAATTTTTGCTTTTTATCTGTTTTCTTAAAGATCTTGGAGGTTGAGCTCGAGGACCTGCGCTCCCAGGTCGAACATCTTCAGTCGGAGAATTCAAGAGTGCGCCATGAAAAACAGGAAGAAGAGGAGCGCCTCCATGAAGTCATCAGCACTCTGCAGGCAGAGCTCGCCACCTTAGGTCCCAATCTGCATGAAGTCAGCGACTCTCAGGACGGCGACAGCATCAACCCCTCTCCTGCACCCAGTCCTGAACCCCAGCAGCATCTCCAAGAACAAGAAAGGAGGGGGAAACCAAAAAGTCTGAAGCACGAGATCAGCCTGACGAATTCTGCCGCCTGCTCTTCTCTTCGATCTCGTCTCAAGGTCCTGCAGAGTCAGTATGAGACTGCTGTGGCAGAGAAAGAAGGCCTGGAGCGATTACTGCTTACCCAGGAGGAAGAGTACAGAGGACAAGTGGAGGAGTTTGGAAAGAGGCTCAACGCCGAGAGGGAAAAGTCAGACCAARTCCGAGGTCTCCTCACGCTGAAAGAAGCAGAGCTGGAGGAAGAGAGAGAAAAGAGAAAATCATCATCAGAGGAGAAGAGGGACCAGTGGAAAGTTGAAGCTGTAGAGCCAAATACCCTACGAGAAGAGAAGGCCAACCTTAACGCTCTGATTTTAGATTTACAAAACAACGAACAAGACCGAGAGAGAGAGATGGAGAACCTGAAAGCAAAAGAGCAGGAGATGACACGAGACATGGAGGTCCTCAGAGAAAACAGTCTCAGTTTCCAGAGACAAGTCCAGGAACTGAAAGCTGAGAAGGTGGACATGGAGAAACTGGTTAAAGAGGGAAGAGAGCAGATCAAAACTCTGGAGGCTGCGAAGGAAGAGCTTTCTGCTGAACAAGAGGCGCTGCAGAGGAGAGAGAGTCAGCTGCAGGAGAAAACCCAGCGGCTCAGTCAGGAAGTTGCTTCAATGAAAGTCCTTATCCAGGACCTGACAGTTAAACTCAACGAAAAAGAATCCAACCAAGAAGAAGCTCAAAAAGAGGTTTTGGTGAGTTTTACACACTTTTAATGGGACAAGAAAAGATAGAAATTTGAACCAACCTATCTTCTTTTCAGTTAGCAGTTGAAAATTGATTAATTTACTTATCTAATTAATTACTTGTCTATTTTTATGGAAATGAGCATTTACCATTTGAATGTTGAGTTTTTTAAACAAAACTATTGAATAAACGTATTGTCAGTCTTTTTTATTGCATTGTTTTAAATATACACTATTTTATTTATTCAGTAAAGCTCTGACTGACTTTTTAATATAATAATATAAATAAAATATATATTAAGAATATTTTTTTACCTAGATAACTTTGTAAAACTGCTTCAGTTATGCTTTGATCCAAGCCTGCAGTGCCTTGTTGCTTTTCTAACATTCATCGGTGGTGGAGGCTGCAGGCACGACCACATCTGGKTATAATTAGGGGGCGCCACTGTTATGACGTGTTCCGACGCAGAGACGGCAGAAACACAGAGGAAGTGACATTTAAAAGAGGAAGCTAATGGAGTAGCTTTGGTAGCTCAAAGCTCTGTTACATTMTTTTCTTTAGCTTTTCTCTTGTGACAGGATGTGGTAAGAAGCTGTTGTGATCTTTAAAAAAAGCTGCGTTTAAAGGGTTGGATTGTAGCATGTCTACCGTGCCGAGGTTTGTTTGTAGTGTACAGCTGCTTTTGCCATCGTTTTGTCAAAAAGACACAGAAAACGTATAGTAATTTGTGTAAGAATGCATCAGGTTTTGTTTTTCTTTTTTAATGAAAACGCTGCATGTTCTTTAGACTTTAACCTTTTATTCCTGCGAGGTATTCATCTGCAGTTGTCTGATGCTCAAATGTTTCTAGACAAACCGAAGAACATGATGGAGAGGTGTAAGTGTGTAACAGTGATGTGTTGCTTTTTCTCAGACCCGTGCTGATGTGACCCTGGCTAAAGCAGAGGCTGCCTTGAGACAAAAAGAGGACGAGTTAGCCAAGCTAAGAGCTGAATACGAGACACTAAGGACAGAGCTGACCGCAGTGAAACAAGGGCTGAGTACCACCACAGAGCGAGCTGAAACACTTCACCAGGAAGGACAGGTGAGAACAGATGAGCTGAGTTTCAGCTATGCAGATGGATTTTAATGTCAGGTTACCTTTTTTCTTCCAGACCAAAGATCGAGCTCTTGTTGACCTGGAAACAGAAAACAAGCAGCTGAAGGCGGAACTCCGACAGCTTCAAGAGGACCTGGCTTTACAGGAAGAGGAACTGGTCTACGAGAGAGAACTGCAGGGACACYGTCAACAGTGCCATCAACACGATACTATTCCTTACCAAGGTTAGAATAGTTTTGGACTTTTCATTATAGTTTAGTTTGATTTCGTTTTGACTTTTTTTCCTATTAATTCAGTTAGTTTTAACTAGTTTTTACAGTGGATTTGCTAGTTTTTATTCGTTATTATTGCATTTTTAATGCTTAGTTTTAGTTTAGTGTTTGTTAGGTTTTTTATAGTTTGAATAAACATATTTGCCAATGCAGCCTCAAGCTTCATCTTCCTGTTAGTTAACTAATCAACAACTAGTTAAAGCAGTCCATTATAGACACCTTCCTAAAATAATTGCATAACTCAAGTTTGCTAACGAAAGACTTGGTAGATTATTTTAAGACAATGATTGTCTCCAACCCGGTGCTACCTGGTGATTTTTTTTCACAGGAGCTACTAAGAGAAGTTAGTTTTCTAAAAAGATTAAACAGTTTTAGTTTATAATTTTTTTCATTTTATTACAGTTTTTATTTATTTAATTGAACTGAAATGTTTTTTTTCCATGTCAGTTTTAGTTATTTATTTAGTTTTAGTTAACAATAATAACTGTGTTCCTTACCAGCAGAGCTACACACAGAAAGGTGAGTTCTAAACRTAGTGATATATGTTCAACATAATCCCACTCAGGTTCTTGTACAGAGCAAAGATGGGTCCTTTCTATAAGATTTAGGACTGTTTTGTTCAGAGTAAAAGCTCAAACGTTTCCTGTCACTATCAGATGTTCCTCACAGGGGCTTTCAGGACGTTCTGACCGTCTCTCAAGAAGAAGCCTCTCTGAGTTCTCCAGAGGTCTTGAGAAGACTGGAATGCTCCGAGGACAGACTCCCAGAACACTTCCAAACGTCTGCTCTGGACTCTCGTMTGCTTGAGCTCAGCAGTGTGAACAGCATGGACCTGGAGCCGCCCCGGGTCAAACCTTCTCCCAGGGTTGCTGTGGAGCCTCCACACTCGAGGACCATCACTCCAGATCCCCTCACACAGACCAGCCACTCCCCCGGCTCCCTGTCGGCCTCTGACAACTTCTCTGCGCTCAACTCGGCAGACGCTGATAAAGTATGCAGTGGAGTTTATTTCTTGGTGCACATTCTCCAAACCTCTGAAGCTTTTTGTGTTTGGGTCTTGTGTGTTTATACTTGTGTGATTTTTAGGTGCGTGAGTTGGAGGAGTTTGAACTAACGGCACCTCCGTCTCCTCTTGGCTCCGCGTCTTCTCTGTCAGCACAAGAGTGGAACACCAGTGACGGTTACGGCAGCAGTGAGTATTTCTGTCTTAAAAGTGTAAATTATACAGACCGCTACAGAAGATCTTTCCTGCCCACAGCCATCAGCATCTACAATAATTCCTTAGTTAAATGAGTTACAACAACACCCAATTTCCCTCTGGGATCAATAAAGTATTTTTGAATTTGAATTTGAATTTTTGAATTAACTGTCGCCCAGGACGTACAGCTGGACTTATTTAGATCAGTGTTTTAGTTGGGTGTACAACCTTTATGCAGTGCCCTCAGAGTCCAACAGGACCGAGTTTGTTAGTATTTTTAAAAGCAGAAAATAACCGTATCTCTGTGTGTATAATGCGATCTCAAATAAAATGCAACCCCCCCCCCTTTTTTTTTTTTTTTGCTTAAAAGCATAAAAAAATCTAATTGTTGTGTATAGTTCTACCTCTTAATTTCATTCAGACTTCAGTTTTTCAGCCTGTGCTGTGTACCCTCTGGTGGAGAAACAGATTATTTTGGGGACACCTACTTCCTCACGACACTGGTAAAGTTTTGTGCTCGTGTTTGTTTAGGAGGTGTAGAAGGACCAACGTGTGGTTCTGCGTGTCATTTTGCTGAAAATGGTCCGTCCACTCCCAGAGCAGGAATCTTTGCTGTTAACAAGAAAAAAAATATTTTGTTTTGTTTCCTACTTTTCCAACTCCTCATCCAACAAAAAATCTGTTTTCAAATGTCTGATGCATCAAGTGAAAAAACCAGCTATTGTTGTTGTTGTTTATTTGCTTAGCTATATTATTTTTTACAGTGAAAGGACAGAGGGAGAAATTATGAAAACACAATATTTCAGTTTTGTACAAGAAAATTTTGAAATTTATTGTGGTAGTACATTAGGAAAAAGTCTGTCAAAACTTACTTCTGTGTATAAATCAGAATCAGAATACTTTATATAATATAATACAACTCTTTAATTTTATGGATGATTTTTGGGATTAAATATTAAATGCATTAAATGCGCATAAATACTGTGAATTTTTATTTAAATGACAAGATGAGGTCAGCTTCAAATAACCTGCAGTGTTTGTAACAGCTTAGCGTTAGGTTTTGTTTATTTTATTTTATTTTTTCTCTCGTTCAGATGTGAGTTCTGAACTGGGCGCGCGGCTGAGAGCGGAGCTGGAAGAGACCGAAAGGCTGGACGCTCAGTTCATTCAGTATCTCCGCTGCCGAGGAATGAACCCCACAGTCAACACGGACAGCGCYGCAGGAAGCATGAGCTACAGTGACGACTTGTTGTCACCCGAGCTTCAGGTCYGTGTTTGCACTCTTTAGTAGTTTTTAAACGACGATAAGCCCGAGGTGCGTAGTGAACTCGTCGTTCTTTTCTGCAGGGTCTGTTGAAGAAAGTGTACGAAGAAAGCTGCAGGATTCTCGTTCTGAGCCAGCGCCACACTGCTCCTTCAGCCCAACCTCATATTTCAGAACTGAAAGCTTTCTCGCAGAGTCGGGTGCAGTATCATTCTGAAGGTAGAYCCGCTCAAATGGACCACAGAGAAAAGGCACCAACGTCTGATCCTCCCATGACGTGGCAGCAGGAAAAGAGAGCGCTGCAGGAGACTGTGATCGCTCTCAGAGAGCTGCTTTGTCGAATGGCACAGAGACAAGTGAGTCCTTTTCCCTGGACTTTAGGTGGTAAAATACAGTCATATTGTCATTTTGGTTTAAGATAAGATCTTAAAGCTCCACTGAATCAATGCTGATGACATTATTTCTCTCTAAGACTGATTACATCGATGATAACTGGAACCAAAGTCAACTACAGGCTGAATCCCATCTGAGGGCAGAGCTGGAGGAGAGCCAGAAGCAGTTAAAATGTGTCCATGATGCTCTGCAAGAGCAAAAGAACAAAACTCTGTCACTCAGGTATATTTTATACTTTAAAACACTACTAGCATCCTTTTAATAAAGTATCTGTACGTATTATTTTGCTTAAAATACATTTTTTTTATTATTTCTCTCTTTTTCTTTGAAGCATAAAGTAGAAAATTCAAGATTCACTCAACTTTATTTCAAATAATTAATATTTTTCTAATTTTGTCTACTTTTTAAAATCATGTCAACAAGTCAGAAGACATTTTTAAAAATTGTTTTTTAATTTTCTTTTATTTATTAGTTGTTTTGTCATTGGACATTTTAGATGTAAAGTGTATTCAGGATCTGTTTGTAGTTTTTCACCAGGTTCACCTTCAGTAATTTATCCATGCGTAACATTTGATCAGATTTCGATACATCTGTGTGTAAAAACATTACTGGAAGTTCACATTGCAGAGAATCTGTGTGGTTTGTTCAAACTACTGGTGCAGGTCCTCTACATTACATTTTCCTTTTACTAACCTTTTAGTTTCCCGGAGTTGAAAGTAAGTGATGAACACTGATTGTCTTTTGTTTTCCAGACTGACTATGGAGGAGGGCGAGGAAGCTTTGAGGAGGGAACAGGCCAGGGTCGAGGCGCTTCAACAAGAACTGGAGCAAGAGAGAGCTCTGAGTGTGCGTAAAGAGAGAGAAGAAGAGGAAAGAAGAGAGGTACGTTTCAGCACCGAGCATTAGTTTTAGTTTTGGAATGATGGTAATATAGCCAGTGTTTCCAAGTTTAAAAGCCTTCCTTTTCTGATAAATGACCTCTGTTTATTATTAGGCAGTGCACATATCCTCTGAGAAGCACCGGAGTGAAGTGATGACTTTAAAGGGTCAGCTGGAGCAGGAGAAGGTGGCCTGCAGCAACCTCCGACAGGAGCTCCAGATCGAACAGTCCCGCAGTTCTCTGTTGGAGAAGCACTCAGATGACACTCAAAAGCTGCTAGAAGGTGAACGCCAGCGTTTCGCACATCAACAGGACCTCAGCCTGCAGGAAAAGTCCCGCGTTGAGCACCTCCTTCGCGAGGCCGAGTCTCGCCTGGCYGAGTTCCACTCCCAGCTCGCAGATTCTCACAAGAAGTTTGACGAGGAGAGAGACCGTTGGTCCAGACAGGTAGACGAGCTCAGCCGGAGACACGAGGCCGACGCAGCCAGAGACGGCAAGTTCATATCGGACCTGCACTCCCAGCTGGAGGAGGAGCGAAGGCGGGGGGAGGAGCTGGCTGCCGTGATGGACAGGCTGAGGGCTGAGCTGCTGCGGAGCAGAAGGAAGTGGGAGGAGGAGGACAAAACGAGGCAGGAGCAGCTTCAGAGGGAGCAGGAGGCTGCCACCAGGCAGAGAGCTGCACTGGAGACTCTGAAGGAGCAAAAACAGGAGGTGGCCTGTGCTTTAGAGGAGGAGCGAGAACGAGCCAAGCGCCAAGAGGTGGAGCTGGCAGAGCTGAAGGAGAGGCTGCGAACGCTGCTGGAGAAGGAGAGGGAGAGGGAGGTGCGACAGGAGAGAACCCATAACAAGCTCGTAAGTTATCATCAGACCAGCTCCTTTCAGRKTGTATKTCTTTTATTAGTGTTTTGTTTTAAAATATTCATATTTTTTCCRTCTTAAGTTGGAGTTTGAGTCACTGAGGCGGCAGGACCAGCAGCGAGTGCAGGAGCTGCAGCGCACTCTGACAGAGCTGGAAAGAGAGGAGAGAGAGATGGCTGCTCAGAGGCTGTCTGGGTGGAGATCAGGCCAGCAGCATAAACCTCCATCTGCACCATGTCTGAGCAGCAACTCCCAGACTGACAGGGACCGGACTGACTGGGACCAGACTAACAGGGACCAGACTGACGTCTCACAGCAGCAGCAGGTACCCAAGAGCTTTGTGCCTGTAATAAAACAATAAACGGTTTGGGATGATTGTAGCAAACTGTAAAAGAATCATAACATTTCTCCCACCATAGATTCCATCCCCATCATCCTCCTCATCCTCCAAGTTGGWTGTGTTACTGAGGAAGAACTCAGAGCTGACAGAGCAGGTGACATCGCTGAGTCAGGAGAGGACCACCTACAAAAACAGGCTCACCTGTCTGGAGAAACAGCTGCGGCGCACAGAGAGCGAGCTCGCCAAGGTCACAGAAATGGAGAACAGACCCATTCATGAGGCCAGCAGCAGCAGGGTCAGCAAGAAAACACACACACACACACACA